AAAGAAATTAGAATCCCCAATGTTAAGAAATAAATAATATATAAATAGTAACTGAGATTAAACTGATCATACCACCATTTCTATTGTCAATGTCTAAAACCTATTTTACCATTCATTAAACCGATCATACCACAATCACTTGAAAATTAATGAAAGCATTCATTTAGGGGACATAATGTGTGTCGAAGAAACCCATCACCACTTGTTGACTCCTATTATAGAAGTCCTTCAAATTGGGGTATCATTTGGCACTTGTTGACTTCTATTATAAAAGTCCTTCAAATTGGGGTATCATTTGGTGTTCATTTTTAGAATGACACACACGCAACTCTCCCCAGTTCATATTTGATGGCAGATATGGTGTGGTTTTTAGGGTCTCCTTGAAATAGTGATATTCCTCAAGTGGAAAATCACAAGTATATCTGAACCACGTATTTTGATAAGTGAGCTCGCATACCCTCGGATCCAAACGAGGCATAATAAATTCATGAATGAAGTGCTTGGTGAATGACTCGCTAAAGAAATTGCCAAGGGCCATTTTTATCACGACATTCTACTTCTACTCAGTGAGAGAGTCCACATAGTCCACACTTTTATGTCGCATAATGACTTGGTCAAATCTGTTTTCACTTGTAAGTCGTCCAATACTTTTATATCACATAATGTCTGTCAGGCTGCACCTAATAGTTAGGATTAAAGGCTATTCTCCCCTTTGCTATAGGTGATTTCCTTCCATGTTCAAAGACATGAGGACCATTTGTCCTTTCCCTAGCCTAGTCTAGTCATTAGGGACATAACATCCACCCTTCTACTGTTGACTGGATGTTGGTTTTACAGAGCCACCAGGCTCCTTGATCGGGAATGTCCAGACATGCAGGCCCCTGGCTATTCCTTGGAATAGATCAACATTTTTTTATATTTTCCAGACCTGTCCGATTGGTGAACCCGCTGGTTTGGCTGATTTGGACCGGAACAGTACCCTCACCAATATTGGGCAGAGGCATGGTCTCTCCTCTATGGATTATGGAGCATACATAAAAAAATGGACAAAAGTTTTTTATTGAGGGGGGTTCGAGTAGTAGTAATGTAATATGCTGGTGCAATAATAAGGAAAAACGTCCTTGGCATCCTCACAATGTGTTTGATGAAATTGAGGTTTTCACAGTAGGATACATATATATTTTAGCCATATATGGAGAGAATCCATTGTGGAAGTGGATACATTTAACGGGTTTCCAATTCTGAGGTCGTCCTAGCTGATTTCTTTAGTGTCAAGAGTCTTATGAGTAGTGTACCTAGACTCACTTTTGTAAAGAAAAGGATACACAGTTATATATTAATGAGATTGTAAACTATAAGACCATTAACTTTTGGTACAAGAGGGCATAATCACTTTGAGCCATTGGATGTAAAATCCGATAGTTTGTATTGTATTCCAACATTTGAAAAATTTTATTTTGGACTTTGTGCCCGGTCAATGACACATGCAATATGGAACCCTAACCTTGGAAGGCCTCTGGCGGACCATGAGGTCAACGATTTCCTCAACTTCTCGGCCCTGTAACAGTCTGTCTTCCTCCCTGCTCATGGGATGGACTAAATCATCTAGACACTATTGCCCTCTGGGGTCTTCACTATTACCCCTTTCTACCTATCTCTCTCATCTCAACCTCTAATCCCACCCATTCACCACCGGCCATAGGGGCCAATGCCCGGTTCCGTCTTGTTCCTCCCAAAGTGCAGGTCCTCACTTGGATTACACATTCAGAGAGCACTTACTATGGACCGTATTCAGTGCAGGGGCCTACGAATCCCAGATAGATGCAGCATGTGCCTCGAGGACGAAGAAACAAACGCTCATCTCTTCATTCATTGCAATCTCACCTTAGCCCTGTGGGGCTTGCTTTTATAATTGTTTGGCTGGTCTTGGGTGACTCTCAAGCCATCCCTTACCTCTTCTGCTTCATTCTCTCCCACCCTAGCATAGATCTGGAATCCTCCTTTGGCTGGCCTCCATTGCTGCCTTACTCTGGGTCATCTGGACTGAGAGAAACAAAGGGATCTTCCGAGGCGAGAGGGAGTTGGCCCAAGCCTTAATAGACAAGATCAATGCCTTAGCCATCTTTTGGGCCAAGTACAGAAACCCTTTAAGAACTTTTCCATGGCGGACTTCCATCAGGATTGGCAGGCCCTCCTTCACCTTAGGCCTGCTAGGATTGTCTGAGCCTCCCTTTGGAGACCACCTGAACTTGGTCAAATAAAACTCAATTTCAATGGCTGCTGGGCAACCCAGACCAGTAACTATTTGGGACATCTTCAGACACCACAACGGCCCCACACTCGTCTCTTTCTCCCGTTCATTAGATCATACTGATTCCAACATGGCTGAGGCCGTAGCCCTTGTCGAAGGCCTCAGAAATATCAATATTATCTCGGGCTCTACCTTACTCATTGAGGGAGCCTCCAAAAATGTCTTTGCCTGGGCCTGTAGATCATCACCTCGTCCATGGAAGTTTCGACCACATTTTTTACGAGATTTACTACCTCTGCAGGGATATACTCGTCTGATGGAGGCATACTTGGAGGGAAGCAAACGCTGCAGCCAACACACTCCTAGACAGGGAGCCATCCAAGCAACTGCCCCTACCACAGTATCACAGCAGATTTTTTGAAAGCTTACTGTCCATTCTCTTGTTCCATTTGTATATGCACTTCCTGATTGTATTGCATTTTTTGGGCCGAATGAGCCACTATTTTTCCGCTCTTCAGGATTTTTGTATAGGGTCCCAACTTGTGGGTGGCCTAGACCAGTGTATCCTCTTCTCTCAATAAAAATTAACATATACCCAAAAGCAAAATGACACATGCCGGACCACCCGATTTCACATCTAATGGTCAATAATGGTTATGACCTCCTTATTCCAAAAATAAATAGTCCTATTCTACACATTCCCTATATTGAGTTTGTGATAATGAAACTCAGTTACCTATAAAAAAAAAAGAAAAACATATCCATCGACTGGTCTCTCTATCACATGAGAGCTCAAAATGAATTTGTAGGTTACTTTCTCTTGGGCAAAGTGATAGTTATTCTCTCTGTGTTTGGTCCTTCCATTGAAGATACTATGTAGCTACCTTATTATGATAATGCGTGCTTATAGGATACTCAACATTGATGTCAATGTCATACTGGGCATACCAATTCACAGGTTGTGGATGCCATCATCCTATACTCATCAGTACTGGACCATCCAACTACAAAAAATTTCTTGCTCTGCCAAGTCACAGAATTTCTATTAAGGGTACAAAGTCTGCTATAGATCTGCTATCCTCTTGGGCAATTTCAATTAGCACTAGATAAGTTGGGAGTTAGTCAACCAGATTCAAAAAAAAAGGTTAGGAGTTTCGGGCAATTATCTCTTCATTTTAGAATTCCTTTCCTGGGTGAATTCTTTGAGTGCCTCAATTTGATTCCTTGTGAATGTGCCTGAGACATGCATAAATGGATTTACCATAAGAATTGTGTATGTGATACCTGTTTGTCTAAGGTCAATGCACTAAACATCCTAAATACTTGATAGCTTATCGTATGTTAAACTGGAATTAACTATAATGGGTGAACCAAAGGGTTTGGTGTCATTTTCCCATCTTCCTTTAGAAGTTCCAAAGTTCCTCGGCAAGATGAATATACCCTTATTGGACCTGGCTACATTTGTGCATAGTGAACAATGCAGCACTCTCGGATTCTTTATAGCAAACCTTCTTCAAGTGCCTCTTTAATTGTGTTATAGAGTTTAGCTCATCGTTTACGTATACAATGACATCATTGTATAATACAAGGATGTAGTGTAAGAATCCTCCTGAAAATAAGAAGTTGTTATTAACTAGCAATCACTTCTTTTGATGCATGTCAGAGGCCAACTTAAAGTTATAAAGCTGTGCTCTAGGGACTACTTCAAAGTTCGAATTGTATATTGTCCAACAGCCATGCTCTCTGCCTCAGTAAAGTTCCATCATCAGTGGGGGGCGGGGGGTAAGAAGAAAAATCCTCATAGGATACTCGTGAGAAATTATTTTTAAGAAATTGACTTTTTGTATAAATATGGAAATATATAGTCTAGTTGGCTTCACTTGCATCCCACAAGGCCGATACAATTTTTACAAAGAGCCAAAATCTCAAAGGTCTCAGCTAAGGTATTGCAAAACATTGACTTGCAAAACATTGCCTCTAACCAAATATGCTTGAAAGACACTTGCAATGGCCAACATAGGCTTTAGGGGTGGCAATGAGGTTGGGTCCACCCACCGGTTCTGGGTCCAGGTGTTGGACCCAGCAATTCAGGTCTGGCTTGGACCCTATCTGGTCGGGAGCTCACAAAATAACATTTTTGAGTCCCCTTCGACTGGTAGTGTGTTCCCCCTACTGGAGTCTAAACATCTGACACCTTCGAGTAGGGCAATTGACGTAGCGACCGTAGAGTTTGTGGAGCTGATCAGGCCTAAACAAGACAGCAGCATTTGACCAAATTTGTTTCTAATAGCACCAATCCGCACTGACTCATGGCTCCCAAGCAAACAACGATCAAATTAGTTAAATGACCCCTGCCTAGGCAGCGTCCATTGTCTCAATGTAGGGAGAGACAATGATCTAGAAATGTTAGAACCATGAACACTTTAAACTTACCGAAATCAAAGTCTGGCTTCTTACTGTGAACATCCATGACGTTAGTTTTGATTGAATCATTTTTTTATTAGTGATTTATAATTAATAAATAAAAAGTGATAAATCTTTCTCGTTTTTACTAAAATATGTTTGAGTCTTCTGTTTTTGTGCGAAATTGTTCCTTTTCTTCCTTCTTTTTTTTTTTACTTTTATTTCTTGATTATTAGGGAGCTTTTTTAAGATATTAACATATTTATGCTATTGTGCAATATTTACACACCCAGATGTGGATTTTCCTAGAAAATGTGTGTCTGATTCAAAGTTTAAGATCTGACAGGTTTCTGAGGCATCTGGTAACAGAAACCGCAGCACGATAATAGTACCTGCAGGGCCTGCAAACGATGAGGGATGGGCAGCATTTAGGAATATTCTTGGAGAGATCAATGAAGCTGCCCGTTTATACATTCTGCCCAATCAGGTTTTTATTTTTTATTTTTATTTTATTTTTTGTTGACTGTGTTAATGAGGTTTTTGATACTGCTAAGATTTCCCAGTTGCTTTTTCTTCTCTCTCGTTTATGTCTGTGTTGTACATTGGCTTGTTCTAACAAACCCATATTTTATTTTGAGGCAGCAATCTTCTGAACCATCGGAACGACTTGCGGGACTTTCAGATGATGTTGGTGCTGGTTTCATATCAGGTCACAGTGCGGAGCCTGTAGCGGCAACTGAGTTGAATGTTGAGAGGTCAGTTGAACTGCCTCAATCGGAAGAGATGGGGAACATGGGGATTTCCAAAGTTATAAGAGTTGACCAGAAGAGGTTTTTCTTTGACCTTGGGAGCAACAACCGGGGCCATTTCCTAAGGATCTCAGAGGTATGTACATATTGGCCTACCGCAACGTCTGAAGGCAAGTCCTAACATTTGCTAGAAATGCCCATCTTCCCCCCCCCCCTGCTGCCCATCCCTCCCTCCCTCCCTTCCCCCTGCCCCCCCTTTCTCTCTCTCCTGTCCCCCCAAATTGTATTTCTGAGAGCTTTTCTGCCTGAACATAACCAGTTTTTTGGGACTTTTTGTTACAATTGAATAAATATAGAAAATGTCTGGTCGCGTGTTTGTGTTAGTGGTGGGGTTGGGTGGAGTCAGGAAGATGGGACGGAAGGCTTAGTTTTCTATTGAAATTCTAGCTCACATTGTCTTCTGGATTACTTTTTTTTTTTCATTAGGTTTCCTTTCTTTTTTCTCTTGAACTCTTGCATTGGTTCTCCCTTTACCTTTTCCCTTTTCGGCTTTTATGCTTGAAAAATGGCTTGTATGTGCACATGCGTCCATGCATGAACGAGTTTTTTTTCTTGTGAATCTGGATTAGGTGAAGACGTCTCTCTCTTCTGGGTTCTAACTGCATCGCTATGAATCTCTCTACATAATATTTGACACAAATGATAGAAGTAAATGTGACGACGATCTTACCCTGAAATTCAGTTCCATTTCTTTGGCTAATTTTCATAATCGTGATGCAACATTCATCAAATTTGTGCTGACTTTTAATTAGTAAAAATAGCAGTCATTGTCTAACTCGTGATTTATCTCAGGTGGCTGGAGCAGATCGTTCTTCGATCATCCTTCCCTTGTCTGGGTTGAAACCGTTTCATGAGATGGTTTCCCATTTTGTTGAGGTCACGAAGGATCGTCTTGAAGCAATGGGGGGTGCAAATGTTCGGACTGTGGAACCTCCACAACGATGAGTTACAGTCCCCATAATGAGAGCAAACTGTAGTTTCTATTTAATTTTCGCTTTCAAGTTAGTCCCCCCTTTTTTTTCCTTTTGAGTCGCTTGCTGGGAAGAGATGGGTCCTTTTTTTTCCAATATTGCTAGGGTATTGGTATTCTTTTGTTGAGGTGTGGTTTTGCATAATATCCCTTTTCCCCTGATGGAAAATAATCGCAATCTCTATGCATAATTATAGAGAGCGGAATCGTTTGGTAAAGGGATACCGACCGTGAAATAACAGCATAGACTGAATTTTTGTTACTCTCTTTTGGCTTTTGGGTGGTATTCAAGTGTTAACTCTCAGTTTCTAGGGCTGCTTGGGAACATTGTGTCATCCCCCTCTCGACTACATATTTTCCAGGGTCACTTTCTTGGGTATATGGACTTTGGATTTGGGCTCTAAATTTTCCATTATTACGCGTATGCGGAGTGGATGGTCGGAAGTTATACATAGCAGGTGATATACTTAATGTGAGTTTATGATAAAATTTAGATCCCTCCATGCAAAGTAATCATTTTTTATCCCCTGAATGGGGAAGGCTTTGTAGAAGTATTTTGTAGGGCCAGAACTTTATGAAGCTGCACTTCAAATGCCACTGCATTTTTGTTCTAGCATCAGGAGACTTGCTTGTCGATTGTCATGCAAATTGATCATCTTATCTTGATCTCAGCAATTGATGTTATAAAAAAAAAGTACTTCTATTGATGATCTCGATTAGCCTCGACAATCACAGTTCATGATGCGTCTTGCAATACATTTTCGGATTGTGCGTATAAAGCGTTTAAAAAATCGCGAGATCTGAACCAGTTTTTTAGCTTTGAATTCCATGGTTGGGGACAAAGAAGTTTGCAAGGTATCGCAAAAGTTTGCAGGATCGCAGCGGTATTACCGTTGGTGTTTTGGGGCACAGCTTACAGAACCAAACTCCATTTTAAAAGCAATTAGCATAATGTTAAAATATTAAATGTCACAAAAATTAACATTTATTGGTACTGTAAGATGATTTTACTAGTTGTAAGGGGCACTGGGGTAAGTTCCCTCTGTTGTTGTATTATTAGAATTTTAGAATAACAAAGAAAATTTGTACGATGTGTCGCATGTCTAGTAAATTTACTAAGTAATATAAATTTAATAAGTAATATTGTTGTAGGACATGACATTATTGTGGAGTCACTAGACGTGGAAAAGGAAAAGGTTTATATAAGGGTGAGGCCAAAAAACAATCAAAGGCGCACTTGCACTTCAAAAGTTCACTGTTTTGATGTTAAAAAATCTTCGATCATTTCCAACTCAAGATGTATGGACATGATAAAAAAATAGATTTTTAAATATTGGAAAGTTCGCTGTTTTGATGTTAAAAAATCTTGGATCATTTCCAACTCAAGATGTATGGACATGATAAAAAAATAGATTTTTAAATATTGGAAATAGTGTATACTATAATGTATTATTTAAACCGTCAATTTTCAATATTTTAAAGTGTTTGTAGATTTGTTTGATCTACACTATTTTTTAATATTTTAATTTTATAATTAGAGATGAAAATGAATTTTTAGGCCATATAAAGATTTTTGATACTAAAATAACATATATTGGCTCTATTTAAAGACGTGCTGTACTTTGATAGTTTAGGGTCCCAGCCTTATAGAAATCGCACCAAAAAATAATTGCTAAATGCAAGTGAACATGTACTATTGTTGGAAAAAGTTTTTATAAGGTTACAATTTTAAAATATAGAATTAAGGTGCATCTAAAAAATCCATCATAAAAGATTGTTTTGATATTGGAAAACCCTTTAATTGATCATCTCAACATCGAGGATATATGAATATGAAAAGAGAAAAAGATTTCGAATTCGAAAAATAACGTATCTTGCACAACGTTATCTGGATTGTGCATTTTTAATATTTACATGTATTTATAGGTCATTTGAACTATTTTTAGGGTTCAAACTTCTATAACCAGATTTGAAAATAGATTTTTAAGCTATCTTAAAAAATTTTGACATCTAAATTATATTTATATCAAAATTTAAAGGTGTCTTAATTTAATTGTGTATAACACTTGCCCATATTCTATGGGAAGAAAGAGACTTGCCTCATATCATAGGGTCGTCTTATCAATATTATTATTAAATTTGCCTTCCTCCTCACGCTTCCTATATATTTTAGGAAAATTGTTTAGTAGGTTGGACCGTATTTCTACAATTTATGGTCCAACAATATATTTTAGGAAAATTGTTCGGTAGGTTGGATTGGTTGATTTAAAAAATAATTGAAATTAACTATTCAAATATTTTTTTAATAAAATTACTATTCAAAAATTTATTTATTTATTTATTTATTTGATATTCATGATCCATGTCAGAGATTACACATTTTTAAAATTAAATAAAAGTCCATGTCAAAAGCACATGTTTAAGAGGTGACTCATTTGTACATGGACTCGTCCTATATTACTATCCTTGTATAAAAGTTCAACGACCTTAATGACATTTGCCTTGTCAGTTGTAGAACAAGGAAAATGTTTCATATATCCATTCCATCTACACTACTTTAAATCTATAAATTTTATGTCCATGCCCTTAAAAAAAATTTTATACTGAAACAACATGTTTCGACACTATTTCAAAGTGAGTCATATTTAGGACCTCAGCCTTATACAAACTACGTACACCGTTGTAAGAATGCAATCCTCCACGCTCCAATTTTGCCCTTGGAAATACTTTTATCTACTATTTCAAAATTCGGATCTGTAGGATGGCCCCTTTGTAGATTCGCGTCGAATTACTACATTGATGATTTGGATTGCATCTGGTAAAAAAATTTCAAAAATAAATAAAAACAAAATAAAAGTAAAATAAAAATTTGTAGAGAAAAGCTGGGTGCGGTTTCTATAAGGTTGCAACCTTAAACAAGCGTATCTCTAAATTTCTTATAATGTAAAAAAATCTTAAGATTATTTGAAAACCTATTTTTAAATCTAATTATAAAATTTTAAACTCCAAAAATGATTAAAATCAAGTAGATCTATAAATATGTATCTTGAAAATGAATGGTCTAGATAATGTGTTGCAAAATGCATCTCGATGATCAATTAGAGAGTTTTTCAACATTAAAACAACCTTTTTATGATGAAGTTTTGAAGTGCATATGTGATTCTACATTTTAAAATTACAACCTTATATAAACGTGTTAGTAAAAATATTAGATAAGTTATATTTGTCAAAAATATATATATATATATATATATATTAGACAGGTTATTATAGAGAGAGAGAGGGAGAGCGAGAGAGCATCAATGCTCGTTTCATGAACTTCCCGGGCAAGAAAACCTTTTTTCTTTCTTTCTTTAACACTCCCTTTAGACTAGATTTTAAAATCCCTTTAAACCAATGGTTTAAAAACCGGATCGGTGACTCGGATCGGGCTTTCTAAAAACCGATCCGGATCGGCGAATCGGCGATCCGGATCGGTGAATCGGCGATCCGGATCGGCGAATCGGCGAATCGGCGATCCGGATTAGAATCGGGTGAATCGGTCAGAATAAAGCTTGAAAAAAATCCGAAAAAATTATTAAAATTCATTATAAATATTGTTTTTTAGGAATTCAATAAAAAATGAGGGTACTCCATTAAGAATTTTCATGTTTTTGAATGAATATGCGAATATTGATATGTTCTTCCCCTGCATGAACCGCCATTCAACATTTAATTTACATCACACAAAAGGATAAACATAGAATTATCATGGAATAAGTATATCAACATACATGGACTACAATAAAGCATAAAATTAGTAACATAAGATCTAAAAATAAAATGATAGATGACGTTGTTGTTCTTCTTGGTCACGCTGA